TCCAGAAATTCAACACAAGAACAGAATATTAAAACCTGTTAGAGAAAAAAAAAAGTCACCTATATAGGAAAACCATCACAATCACAGAAGACTTTTCAACATACTCCTCAAGTCAAGGAGAGCCTGGAGTAAAGTATCTCAAGCCAAAAAAGGAAACAACCTCCTTTGATGTACCCACATTGATGTACACCACAAAATTATCTTTCAAAATGTATTGAGAAGTTCCAACAAAATGAATCCACCATGCAAGGCAAGCAATTAAACAGGATGAGAAGGGAACCAACAATAGGAAAATATGATAACAAGGGTAAGTCAATATATATCAATTATAACTATCAATGTTAATGGTCTCTATTCACCAATCAAAACAAAAAGACTAGCAGAATGAATCAAGAAGAAAGATCTATGAATATGCTGCATATAAGAAACACATTTAACTGCAAAAGAAATTCACAGACTGGAAGTCAAAGGATGGAAAATAGTACTCCATAAGAGGAACCCAGGAAAAAATAGGGGTAGCTGTTCTATTTGCAGACAAAATAGATTTGAAGCCAAGACTGATTTAAAAAGACAAAGAAGCTCACTACACATGGGAATGATCTAAGAAGAGATAACAATCATTAATACATATGCACCAAATACCAGAGCAGTCAACTATATAAAAACAAACATTAATGGGGATAAAAAGCAAATAAACACTAATACAGTTGTAATAGGGTAACTCAGTACTCCACTGTCACGAACTGACAGATAAACCAGACAAAATGTGAACAACAAAATATCAAAAATGAACCAACTTTTGAACAAATGGACTTAGTAGATATCTATAAAATGTTCTACCCTAGAATATTAGAAAACATATTCTTCACATGGGACTTTCTCCAAAATATACTACAGACTGTCCCACAGAGCACACTTAAGCAAATGCAAAGGAATTAAAATTATCCCATGCATATTATTAGACCATAGTATAATAAAATTGGAAATCAGTGGCAAAGAAACCACAGAACTTCATAAATACATAGAAATGAAATAACATCGTGCTGAACAACTGTTGAGTCACAGGTGAAATTAAAGAAGAAATTATATGGTTTCTTCAATTAAATGATAATGCCAATTAAACATACCAGATGTTGCAGGATGCAATAAAAACAGTCCCATGAGGGAAATTTATAGTGCTAAACACCCATATCAGGAAAAGAGAGCAAACTCAACCTAATATTGAACCTCAAGCTTCTAGAAAAAGAAGAGCTAGTCAAGCCCAAGCTTGTGTAAAGAGGAAATTATAAAGATCAGACAAGAAAATAATGCAATTGAGACAAAAAAGAATACAATGAATCAAAGAGTTGGTTCTTTCAACAATTAAATAAAATAGAAAAAGCTTTAGTCAACCTCATTTTTAAAAAAAGGAAGAATAAGACTTAAATCTATAGAATTAGGAACAAAAAGGGAAAAATAAAAAAAAATCCTGCAGAAATCCAGAATATCATCAATGCCTAATTCAAGAATCTATATTCTAATAAGATGGAAAACACAGTGGGGCTGGGGATTTAGCTCAGCGGCACAAGCGCCTGCCTTGCAAGCAGGCAGTCATGAGTTCGATCCCTGGTACCGATAAAAAACGAAAAAGACAAAAAAAAAAAAATAAAATAAAGATGGAAAACACAGAAAATATGGACAGAGTCCTAGACACATATGAATCACCAAAGCTAAATCAAGAAGATATAAAAATCCTAAATAAACTAATATCAAGCAATGAAATTGAAGATGTAATTAAAAAGCTACCAACAAAAAAAGCCCAGGAGTCACTGCTAAATTCTACAAGAAATTTGAAGTCCCTACTCTTCAAACTCTTTAATAAAACTGACAAGGAAACAATTCTCCCAAACTCATTCCTGGAATTAAGCATTACCATGATATCAAAACTGAGAAGGATCCTTACAAAAGAAAGGTAACTACAGGCCAATCTCCTTAATGAACATAGATGCAAAGCTCCTCAGTAACATTCTGACTATATAATACAGCAAGTCATCAAGATTATAAATCATGACCAAGTGGGACTCATGCCAGAGATGCAGGGATGCTTTAAAATATACGATTCAATAAATCCACAGAACCAAGGACAAAAGTCACATGATCATCTCAATAGATGCGGAAAAGCTTCTTGATAAAAGACCAACAGTTATTCATGATTAAAAATTACAGGAAATTGGAATAGATGGTGTTTATCACAATCTGATAAAAGCCATCTATGACAAACCAACTGCCAACATCATACTAAATGAACAAAAACTGAAAGCTTTCACTCTGAAATCAGGAACAAAACAAGGACGTCAACTATCACTACTCTGATTCAATATAGTTCTTGAAATATTAGCCAGAGCAATTAGATAAGAGAAAGAAATAAAAGGAACAAGGATAGGAAAAGAAGAAATTAAATTATCATTACTTGTGGATGACATCATATTCTACATGGATGATCCCAAAACTTCACCAAAAAGCTGACCGACTTAATAACCAAATTTAGTCATGTAGTGGGATACAAAGTCAATACTCAAAAATCAATAGCATTCCTGTACACAAATAACAAAATCACTAAGAGAGAAATTAGAGAAATAACACCTTTCACAAGGCACCTCCCCTCAAAAAAGAAAGAAAGAAAAGAAATACCTAGGAATCAATCTAACAAAGGAAGTAAAAGCTCTCTATACTGAAAACTACAGTACTCTGAAAAAGATAAAAGAGGGTATCAGAAAATGGAAAGCTAGTCCTTGTTCCTGGTTACGAAAAAACAATATAGTGAAAGTGGCCATAATTCCAAAATTTTTACAGAGACTTAATTCATCCTCATCAAAACTCCAATAGCATATCTCAAAGAATTAGAGAAAATAATCCTAAAATTCATTTGAAACCAGAAGAGACCTAAAATAGCAAAAGCAGTTCTGACCCACAAAGACAAGGTAAGGGCCATAACAATTTCTTACTTGAAATTTTAGATCAAAATTTCTGTGATAAAACAGCATAGTACTGTAAGAGAACAGATCTGAGAAGCAAAGGAATAGAATAAAAGATATAGAAACAACTGCAAACACAGTTTCCTTATCTTTGACAAAGTAGCCAACATCTTCACTGGAAAAAGATGGCCTCTGTAATAAATGGAACTGGAAAAACTGGCTTCCCACAAGTGGAAGATTAAAACTAGACCCATACCTTTACCATGCACTAAACTAAAATCAAAATGTATCAAAAATCTAAATATTAAAATAGAAACACTAAATCTGATGAAAGATAGAATAAGAAAAACTTTTGAAGACACTGGTATAGGCAAAAACTTTATGAACAAAACCCCAATCACATAGTAACTATCACAAAGAAACAACAGTTGAGATCACATATTATTAAAAAGCTTTTGCATAGCAAGAAAAATCACCAAAAAGTGAACAAACAACCTACAGTGTAGGAAAACATTTTTGCCAGCTGTACTTAATATTTAGGACTAATATTTAGAATATGTAAAGAACTAAAAAAAAAAAATCAAACCCTCCCCCCGAACCTAAAGACCCAATCCAAGAATGAGCATCTCAAATGAATAGACACTTCTCAGATTAAGTAGCAGCAATGGGAAATAAATATATGAAAAATATTCAACATTACTGGTCATTCAAGAGATGCAAATTAAAACAATGCTGAGATTCCATCTCACTCCAGAAAGAATAACTATTATCAAGAAGTCAACCATGAGGAAAAAGCTATGGGGAAAAATAAAGCCTTTTCCACTGTTGATGGGAGTGTAAACCGGTGCAACCAATGTAGAAATCAGTGTGCAGAGTCCTCAAAAAACTAAAATTTGAGGTTCTATTTGACCCAGATATCCCTCTTCTTGGTATCTTCCTGAAAGAATTAAAAGCATCATACCACAGGAATATATGCACATTCATGTTTATAATGGCAAACTTTAAAATAGCTAAATCTTGGAAACAGCCCATGTGCAAATCAACCAATAAGTAGATAATATAATATTTTAATATAATGGAGTACTACACTATCTTCTTTGTAATATGAGACATTTGTAGCTAAATGGATACAGCTTGAGGCCATATTCTTACATAAAGTAAATTGGACACATGTATAAATATTGTATTGTCTATCCGCTCTGAGAAACTAAAGGTGTAAATAAGGACCAAAATATAAAATACATAGTGGAAAATGGGAAGAAAATGTTCAAATGAGAAGGTGAACAATGCAGGAGGGTTACAAGGGAAAAGAAAAAAGAAAAAATAATAGAAGGAAAAATGAAAACAAAGCTTTTATAAGAGGGGAAGAGGGGCTGTAGGAAGGGGAGGGGAATTGGAAAAAAAAGCAGCAGCAAGATATACCATGTACAGTCCCTAAGATGAATGTTATCACTATGTATATCTAAAACGTGCCCATAAAATAAGAAGAAACAAAAAGAAATAATGACTCATACTATGACATGGATTAACATTAAAAACTAAAGTGTATGAAGCCAAACTCCAAAGGCCATGAACTATATATATAACTTCATTCATGTGAAATACATAAAATAGGCAAATCCATACCAACAGAAAGTAGAATAGTGGTTGTCTGGGATAGGAGAGGAGAGAATGGCAAATGGGTATAGCTTTTCTTTTGGGAACGATGAAAATGTTCTATAATTAGATATTGGTGGTGATTGCAGTCTCGTGGGTATACTAAAAGTCGCCAAATAGTATACTTTAAAATGGCAAATTTGGGGGTATATGAATCATATCTCAGAAAAGGAACTGTTTTCAAGCATAGGTTGCTGTGCCCCTCGAGAGACTTCCTATTTAATAGGTTTTTAAAAAGCAAAAGTTAACTTTCACATAACATGAAATATTTTCCCAAGGAAATACATCTCTGATGTACTCTTTTCATTCATTCATTCATTTGTTCAGTCAATAAACATTCACTGAGCACCTGTTATGAACAAGAATGAGGGCATCTTTACTTCCACTTGCCTTTTGATGCTTGAAGCCCTCAATAAGTAAGATAATATCAGTAAAAGTGAGAGGAAATTGCAGTCGTGGTCCATCGTAGGAGTCTGGGATCTCTATCAACCCCATATACTCCTGTCTATCCTTTGTGCTTTTGAGAAGTTGGTTCGAAAATTCTGAAAAAGGAAAGACAGAAGGGGTGATGAGAAATAGGAGTCAACATTCTAATACTTACATTTAATAAAGATCTCTGAGTACCTTACCCATGTTAGGCACAGTGCTAAATGTTATGAATACCAAGATAAACCACATATAACAATGAGAATTGATTGATTCTGAGACCAACAGCGCATTCACTTGGATCCTCATCATTCCTTCCCTGTATGGGGTTTTGTCAAAGCAGTGGATCAATAATCATTAGTGAGAAGAAAAGACACAGTAAAAACCGATCAACTGGGGTATTTTGATGCTCTGCATTTCTAGCTCTAAATTTTTGCCTATTCTTTTATCTTAGGTCTTTATGAATACAGATAAAAATGTAATAATACATTGTATTTGGTTCAAACATCTGCTGTTATTCAAGATCTACAGAAAATTAAACTGTAACATTTAATTTTTTCATGTTAAACACTTCAGAGGATTTTACTTAGCTGTAATTGATCTGTTTCTCTCTTCATATAAAGATTAATTTTCTGACATGATTTTCTTTCTTCTTAGTAACAAAGTAGATAAGGTAGCAAACCATAGGCAGAAAAACCTAAAGGTTGGTCTGTCTCTCTCTCTCTCTCTCTCTCTCTCTCTCTCTCTCTCTCTCTCTCTCTCTGCCTGACAGACATTACTATATAGTAAGAGAATGCGTGCATTGTCCATTTTAATAGGTTCTGAGATCCATGGTCATGTCTTGCTAGATTAATAATAAAATAGCCCTAAACCAGAAATTCAGACAATTCAGACAGAGAAAGATGAAATGGGATATGGCAGACAGATTGCAAAAGTGGCTTGAATTCTCTATCCTAACATCTACCTATGATTTTTAATATATGATCTCCTAGTTGCTCTTATCAAGACTATTTTCCTATCCCTTCAAGTAAGAGTGGGCTCATGATTTATTTGGGGTTGAAGAACATGACAGAAATGATACCCACCAACTGCAAGTTGAGGTCTCAGAAAGCCTTATAGGCACCCATGATCTCTTTTGGAATCTTGTGTTTAGGCTAGCCAAGTGAAACATTCGAGATCATGTTGGACAGAGGTGAATCATCTTGGCTGGGGCTGTTCTAGATCAACCAACAACCAGAAGACCTCTACACACACAAGTAAACTCCATCCAAAACCCTCAAAGCTGCCAAAGCAAGTTTGCTGAGATTATAAGATGTGCTTAGTTAATATATAGACTTTCTAGAAAAAAGAAATGCTCATTATTATTTCAGTAAGAGATATTCCAAAGGATGATGACATACTGTTCAACTCATTAACTTGCTAAGTCTATTCATCTGAAGTTCTCTGCAAACAGCTTCTATCTTTTTGAATAATATAGAGTGGTCGAAGGTGTAGACAGAATACATTTTTTCATGACCCAGTTATGCTGGGAAACTACAGTTAAGAACTAAACTTGTGGGCCAGGGATATAACTCAGTGGCACAGTGCCTACTTGGTAAGTACAAGGTCCTGAGTTTGATTCCCAGAATGAAAAAAAAAAAAAGATTTAAACTTGAAGTTTTTCTAAAGTCATATATTTGGTAATTTAAAAAATATTTTCTCAGCGGTCATGCAACCCAGTATTTTTTGGTAATGGTTGATAATGTTTTATAAGAAGTGGAATTTAGGATTAGTAATGTCTGTTTTTAATATGGTCCAGGAGAAAGTATTTTTCCCATCTGGATTTGGTTTGAGATTTAAGAATAATAAGTCATTACCATTTGTGTTAGAAACTAGAAATGCAGAACATCTTGATAAACTTTATCTCAGATTCATTTTGTAGGCTAAATAGTCGACTTAGCCTTCTCAATGATCATACCACTCATTTCAATTTTGTAGTCATTCTTGGAGATGAATTTTGCTCCAAGGGTAAATTTTTTATTTTCCTGATGCCATATACTGAAATATCAAACAACTCTCTTAGAGAAAACAACACACCCATTCTAACAAAGCTCTAGACCCCACCCAGAAGTTTCACTGCATTTTCTACCAGAATTGTAAAGATTATTGTCTGTTAGAATCTAAGAAATAATGTAAGTATAGAATTCATATAGAACTAGGGGATTTTGTATTTTAGATGGGGAGGAACTTTAGGACACACTAGTAGTATTCATGAGAATAGTAGTATAGCTTTGAAGCATGCCTGACTCAGATGGTAGAGAGAAGAAAGAAAAGAAGTTGAGGATGTAGATTTGCATACGGAGGTGTCCCATCTCATTCCTCTAGCAAATCCTCACAGGCCTGGCAACTTCGTTAGTCAATTTCTCTGGTACCTATACCTCTGGTACCTATACCTTGGGCATGATCCTCTTCAGATTCAGTAGCTCAACTAAACAAAATTGAAGGTTCCATCAATCTTTACTGCCACCTTTGGACCTCATATCTGCTCATACTAAGGAAGATTTCCTGTCTTACTCCCAGCACTCTATTGTTTGACATTTATGTATTGTTCTTACTGTTTCCTCCCCCTTAGACTCACTTTCTCCTGTCTTTTTCTTCTTTAGATAATTTCTACTTATCCTTCAAAACTCAGCAATTCATCCAGGTTGAGCCTCAAACCCTCCATTGTCCATGGCATCACATTGATGATGACCATGACTACAATGATGATGATGATGATGATGACAATAGCTCCCACGTACTGAATGATTACTCTGTGTCAGGCAGAGTTTTAAACTCTGCATGCGTATATTTATGCAATGATCACAACTATTCTGTGAGATAAATATTGTTCTTTCCTCATTTTTTTACATGAGGAAAATGGAGCACAGTGGAGCAATGGAACCAAATTTTAGACAAGATGACCCTGAGCTCAAAGTCTTAACCATTATACTTTTACTACGTATTTTAAAATATATTTATCTTATACCATATGTAACAGAATTTACACACAACTGATTTACCGAATAACTCCAATTCTGCAAAGTGCAAATAAAACATTACTTCATTTTTTCAATCACTCTTTTTACCCATGCTCTGTCATCTCAGTGTCCCTTTTCCCATTGGCTAACTGATATAACAAAAGTTCCTTCCATCACTTCAAGTGATTAAAACTCAGTATTGTTGTTTAAGAGCTAGATAAAAATTTATTAGTTTTCTTTTTAAAAAATAAGTAGTTTGCTCGTTCCTTCCTTCCACTTGATGACCCTCTTCCTTACAAAGTTCAGTGCCCTATATATGCAAAAGCACCATTTCCCTAAGCTAAGTCTTAGTTAAAACTACTCAGTATGAATATCAACCAATATCAAATCATTATTGTTTTACATAATAACAGGAAAAGAATAAGGTAGTCTCTTCCAATAGCTACTGTTTGCCACATATGAAAACAATCAAAAAGCTTAAACATTTCTATGCACATACTGTTCTTGTGGGCTATGCATATTTTAACTAACAACAATAAGCCAGTGAATGTGAACAATATATGCAGATTTTTGTACTATGCAATTAGAATTAATCCTTAGCTGTTTGATTTAGAGTTTTATCAACATGAACCTAAACTAATAAAATCTTGAATTATAACCAAACAATACCTTTACAAGTTGTTCTAAAGAAAATACCTCAAAAATACCACCCACACACAATCTTTTCTTTTACCTGGTACATACTCAAAATCTAGACAGGGCAAAATTTAAAGCACATAATTAAAAAAAACAATTTATGCCTCTCACTTTGAAAACTAATTCTAGGTATTGCTGGAAAAAGAAAAGCACCAAGTAAACCACATTTACAGTTATTTTACTTCCCAATTATGAATATGGATTAAAACCTTGGTGTCTAGATAATAAATTCAATAGGTGACAAAATAACACTTCATAAAATTCATACTTACTGCTGATTCTTTAAAACTCAAGTAACTAAGAATTGAAGGACACTTCCTTAGTATAATTTTAAAATTTAAATGAACAGTATAGTCTTTTCCATTAAGTCATTAAAAAAACAAGAGTGCCCAATTCATTGTTTCATTTTAATATTGTTCTGCTATTTCCAACCAAGGCAATAAGACATGAAGTTGAAATAAAAGTGGTAATAATTATATATAAAGGTACTTGTGGCCAACATGATTACTATACTCAAGAAAATCAACTGAAAAAACTCCAAAAACCAACAGAAGACTTAAATATAATACACAGTTAACCACATCGGCTCCTATCACAGCTTTATCAGTACTGAGATAAATAACCTTGGGAGATTACCTTCTAAGTCTCAGATTCTGCATTTATATGCCTGTCATCCCAGCACTTAGGAGGCTGAGGCAGCAGGATTGCCATAAGCTTGAGGCTAGCCTGAGTTTACAGCCAGTCTGAACTACATGGGGAGACCTTGTCTCCAAAATCAAACAAAGGAAGAATGTATACTGTATGTTTTCATTACATAAAGAAGTTCAAAAACAGGCAACACTAATCTAGCGTGCAGAAATTCAGAAAATAGAGTAGAGTGGGGACTGGTAGTAACAGTAAGAGAGCAAAAAGTCTTCTGTATGATTTCAATAGTGTTTCTTTTTCTTGTTCTGGGTGTCTGTTTCATGGATGTGTTTTCTTTGAGAAAATGTATCACGTCATATAATTTGTATACTTTCCTGCAAAGTATGTTATAGGTCAAGAAAATCGCTATTCTCTTTTCTGATGAAAACATTGTTATATTTTTAAAATCACTTGCAAAGTAATTTTCATGCAGATTTTTAAAAAGTACACTCTGAGTAAATATCCATAGTCTGGAACCCAGCCACCTCTGAAACTCCACAAGTAATTCTGATGAAGTGAGGCGAGGTGAAATTGTATTAGATCATTAGAAGGAAGCATCCAATTTTATCATATTTTCTCACAAAAACATTTTTGCCAAAAACACAAATCACAAACAACTGTCTTTAGACTGCAATTATCTGCAAGGAAGAAAATGGCCAAGTACCCACTTTCACCCATTCCCCACTCAGATTTCCACCATTCAGAAAGGCTGTGCAGATCATAAAATGCTTTAATTACTTTCACACACATGTATTTATCTCCAGTCATGATATTAAAACACCATTTTTTCACCGCTTTGAAGTGATTTTTTCCAGATTATTTAAAAGATGCTCCTAGATATCATACACATTTTAATTAGAACAAAAATTTGCTCAAATTAAAGGGAAAAATGAGTTTTTAGGTGTTGGACCAACCTTGAAGACAGATCTTAATTCCCAGGAGAAACATATGCCTTGTAATAATTATAACTATAAAGCAATTTTTGAACCACACCTATATTGTCTGTCTCTGATTCAGAATGACTCGATAGAGGATAGATAACAGAAATGGTCCATTTATGCTGCTGTAACAATAGCACAGACTGGATAATTTAGAATGAACACAAACTTATTTGGCCAAGGGTTCTGGAGGCTATAAAGTTCAGGGTCAAGGGGACGTGTCTGGTGAGGGTTTTCTTGCTACGTTATAGCATGGCCGAAGATAGCACATGGTTAGAGGATGTGTGAGAAAGCAGGCAGCGGCTGAATTTATTCTTTATAAGCACACCACTTTCAAGATAATGAGCCTATTCTCATGATAATGGCACTAATCCATGCACAAGGCAAGGCCTCTTATGACTAGTAATTATCTCCTAAAAGTCCCACCTTTCAACACTGCTGAATTGGGTGGGGATTAAGTTTCTAAAACATCAGTTTGGGGGACATATACAAACCATCTCTGATGTACATACAGACAGGAGAGTGAGGAAACAGGGATGGGGAGAAAAGAAAATAGAAACATGTTGGAGCCAACTGTACTTAATCTGCTATTTTCACCCAGAACCACCAGATGACATATATACTCAAGATATTTTGATTTCTCAACACTGCCATTTTTATGGCTGAAAAATAAGACATTTACTGAGCTACTGTTGTATATCATAGACTGTGGTTCCAAAGAAGATGTTCAACAAACTAATGCTGAATGAAATCCAATTCAGTTGTTTAAAAAGTGCAAACATTATATGTCAATTTAGCAGGCATCATGCAGGCAGGGAAAAGCCAGTTGGGTGTCACACAGACAATAAAACATGGGCATCTTTTTAAATTTCTTAGTGTTCTTCCATTTATATTTCTTGATGAAGGCATTCAGTATTTAATGATGCTTTGCAAAAGGCTAAACTTTTTGCTTACCTGGATCGTCCTTACGTATTTGTGTATAGTTTTCCAACATGAAGGAGAAGAAGTCAGAAAGCTGGACAAAATAAAAATACATTCACCAATTAATGAACCTTAAACATTACTGTGGTAAATGCTGTCAGGCTGGGTGCAAGTCACTTCCTCTCCTGAGACACTCATATCCCAGCTGTGGGGGTGTGAAGGGTCCCATGGGTCCCTGCCCTTACAGTTTGGTAGCACTGCATTGCCCCTCCTGGGAGGCTGCTCTTACATAACAACTGAATAAAGCACCAGTCCCCCATCTCCCTGACACTACTTGGGACAAACTGGGATGCATTTCACACTTGAGAGCGCCTGACGGGATTAGTCTAAAGTTAGAGCTTTCCAGAAGCACATCTTTTCCCTGACTTCTCCATGCTATCGTGCTTTCCTCGTTCCACTACAGATTTTTCCTGAGTACACGCCCTCATCAAGTCACTTGTATCCTTGTCTCAGACTTTGCAGTTCAATCTAAGGCAGCTACAAAATTTTATTCATTATGATCGATTCTCTTCACTTTGATGGCGAGATTAAAGTAGTGCTTAAAAAGACAACGCTGGAGCTCTTAATTAGGGGAAAAGGAACATTTGATTAAATCTCAGTGCATCCTTTTAATAGCTGCCAAGAAGAAATTCAGAAATGTACCTTTTTGAAATTTTCTTATTTTTAAAGATTACAATGTGTTACATAAACATTATTGTTTAAAACCACAAACAAGGGGTCGGGGGTAACAGTTCAGTGGCACAGTGCCTGCCTAGCAAGCACAAGGTCCTGTGTTTGATTCCCAGCAGCAGAAAAATAAACAAATAAATAAATAAACCATAAAAAATACCAAATGAAAATGAGAAATTCCTTTTAACATCCCACCTCCCCATTGATACTACTTCTATACCCAAAGCTAGCCACTGTAAACAATTTATTGTATATGTTTTTCAAGACTTTGGCTGTATATTTAATTTTCTTTCACATGTGTAGGATAAACTCTCTGTATTACCCTACAAGGTGATTTTTTTTTCATCAACAACTATATTGGAGATTTTTCCAAGATCTTCTTTTATTATTAAAAAATGCTCATTTTATTAATAAGTATTAAAGCCAGATTTACGAATCTTTGTGGTAAGATTTAAAAAGGCCTTTCTCATTCTTCCAGAACTTTCATAGGTTTTTTCTGAGGAAATTCTTCCATTTTTTTAAATCCCTAAAATAATTTTTCCCTTTATAAAGACACAACTTTCCACTGGGGCAGATATACAAAAATAGAATAAGATTATTTTTGTTAGTTAACTAGACATCTGGTAGCCCTCTGAAAAATGTGAACTTCAAAAGTGAGAAACACCATCCTCTTCCCAAATCACTCTCTTTCAACAGCTTGTTCCAAGGCAATGTCACTACATCTTCTATTAAAGTCTTTCATGCTGGGCATGGTGGTGCATGCCTCTGATCCCAGCACTCTGGGAGGCTTAAGTAGGAGGATGGCAAGTTTGAGCCCAGCCTGCATGAGCCTCTATTTCAAAACACAAAAAGGAAAAGGACTGGGGATGCAGTTCAGTGCAAAGGCCCTGGGTTCAATCCCAAGTAACTATCAAAAGGAAAAACAGAAAGAAAAAAAAAAAAAAAAAACCTCCACCAAGGTTTGACCCAAATTTATTTTCTTTCGGTAACAAGAAGTAAAGTGAAACATTGTACCAAAAAGAGACCAGACTGCAAAACAAACCTGCATTTGGCTTTGTTCATTAGCATATTCAATGGACTCGAAGATGGCAAGCGCATACTGCAATCTGGCTCTCAGCCGAGCTCTGTAACCTCGGTACCAGTTCTGGATGACTAATGCGGCTTTCAAAACTGCAAACACACAGGATATGAAAGTCAGAGAAAAGCAGTTACTATGCAGCTCTTGGGGGGAAGTAATGTTTCAACAAAAACAATCAGTCCACTTGGATTCCCAGGTCCTGAGAATATAAAAACTGCAATGAGATTTCCTTTTTAATGAAAATGACCTCAAGTCTCAAGCACTGAGATAATAATGATGACATAGCCATTAAGCATGGAAATTTCAGAGTAAGAGTGCCTAAATTTGAACCACACCCTTGCTGGTTACCCTCTGTGTGATTCTGGGAGGTTCTTAAAAAAACTCTCAGCACCTCAGTTTCCTCATCGGTAAAATTAGAATAATAACAGCATCCACCTTTAACATTGCTTAAAAATACTCTATTCTTCTCTGTAGTGTATTCCTCAAAGCAATAGCCAATAATAGAAGGCTGGGGATATGGCCCAGCAGCAGAGTGCTTATCCGGTGTGCACAATGCCCTGGGTACAATTGCCTGTACCAGAGATACAATTGTTTTTCTGTGGCAGTAGGGAGTCTGATACCCTCACAGCCTGACTGTTCATCCTTTGGAAACAAAATACATATCTGTGTGCACTGTGGATATCATACCACAACTGAAGCAATCAATTAAATAAACCCATAGTAATATGTGTAGGGCTTAAAAACAGTACTTCCACTAGAAAAGTTACTAAAAGTCAGATGTAGAAAGAAATACACGATACCATTTTAAGACAATTAAAAATATAGAACAAAACCAAAATACACATTTCAAAAGAGTATAAAGCAAGGAAAGATACTACATACAATGATTGGTTATTTACAAGGGAGGCAAATGAACATGATGGATGGATGGATGGATAAAAGGGAATAAGCAAAATAAATAATATAAGGAAAAGAACTTGTACAGACTAATGATGGCAATGTACAGTGAAGTGAGAAGTTTGATTCACTCTACTTTCTATACCTGAGAGCCAACAGACAAAAGACAGATAAATAACAGGCCCTTCTCCCTTACAGAGTTACTTAAAGACAAAATGAGACACTACAGGTAAGAGCTGAGCCTAATGCTTGCCATGAAGTATATGCTAAACAAACAACAGCTCCAAGTATTATTTTGTTTGTGAGCTATCGAAGCACACTGTCTCTGATGTGGAGCTGGGTAGCCTTTGAAGTATCCTGTAGTTTTACATTATTTAAGAAAGATCAGGTGAAAAATACTGAGGTATAAAATACAGTTTCTTATGCTTCCTTGACAACAGCTGGCTCCTTTTATTCATATTGGCATTTTTTTCAGATAGCATATAAAAATTAAGTGTTGACTATAACAATAATATTCTGGAATCAGAGGTCCCACCTCCAATAATGGCATCCTTTGCTTTGATACTATGTAGTACACAGAGTATCTAAGAGACCCAGTCACTCTAGAATGATGGCTGCCAGAGACTCTTATTTCATTATTCAGCTTCCAGAAAACTTACAAAAATAGACTTCAGGTCAAGTATCATGATATTTACAGAGCAATTTGTTCAATACTGCAAAGCAAATAAGTGGTATTCTCTAGATAGCACTATGGAGAGTCCAGGCTCACCTGAACTGCCTATTCCATAGGACAGGCACTGTCGTAATGAACCAATCATCTCCCCTCAGGGGTTCTTGGATTTTCTAAGGGCAGTGGTGCCATTCCTCAAAGGTACTGAGGACTCATTGAGAGCCAGGCAATGAATGAGTTCCTGCAGTCCTCACAAGGTTGTGAAAAAGAGAGGCTGAGGAACTGACTTAGGTTCACATAGCCACTCAGTGGAAATGGACTGTGAGGATTGGAACTCAGGTCTAACTGACTCCAGAGACCAAGATTTTGATCTCCCAAGAACTATTGGTTTTTTTCTGAGCCTTGGTTTTTTCATCTGTATAATCATGTAGTGGCAAACATGACTGAAGTCTCTTCTGTTTAGTTTTAACAATGTCAATAATAAATATTCAAGTTTATTTCTAATTAACAAATAGCTACCATATATTAAGGGTCTACTACAAGACACTGAGTATCCACAAGTATTTTCATCTCCACATTTTCCTGTACATGAGGAAACTGTGAGTTCAGAGCAGCAGGTGAAACTGCTCTAGGTCACTTACTCAAAATAGAATCTGGTCTACACTAAAGTCAGGAAACTGACCCACATCTTAGGCATCAGCCACCTCTGTCTTTGCCTGCACTCCTGTATCTAAGCACAAATGCCATTTATCAAGCTGCCCTAAACCAACTCCAATCCCACCCCCTCCAGTCAGCTCGGTAGCACTGAGCTCAGACTGCAGATCCCTGTTCAGTTTTGTGTGCAGCTCCTTGCTAAGACCTTGTCCATAAAGCAGCAGAGGAAGACTATGAGACCAGAGGAGAAATAAGGGGCACCCTCCTTCTTTCTGTCTACTTCCTATTCCCTCTTGGGTGACTAACTAATCTTCACCCCCTGCAACAGTTAAATCTATTTTGCAGTTTACCCAGGACTTGCAAAATCAGCCCTGTGGCAGCCCCTAAGTCACCAGCTGGCAGCACCCGTTGTCAAAGGGCTGAGGTTCAGTTTTGTGGGAGACTACTCCAAGGTTCTTTCTTTGGTGGAAAGAGATTGCTCCCACAGACTTATTTAGTTATAATTTGCAAAAAAATTGAATATATTCAAGGTATACAGTATGATACTTTTGTTTCAGGCAGCTAAGTTAGATAGAAACTAATATACACTCACAGAGGGACTGGGCTCTGGAGGAAGTCAGTAAAAAATAGACATCCGAAGTGTAGTCAGAGGCACACCTGAAGGAGGCCAGGCCTCAAGATAGAGATGCACTGGCCAGGCCTGCATGTCTCCCTAAGGCTAAAGGGTGACTTAGAATGAATTCTGTACGTGGCACCACCTGGGACAGTAAGTCCAGCTAGACATCAGTCACCCAGGTGGATGACCAGAGCATTTGGGACCCATCCCTTTCCAAAAATGCCTTTGCTCTTTCCATGTGCCTTTGATACATGACTGGTTTCCCTATTGGATCAACATTAGCTAAATGGCTATACTTATAATCCTATAAGTTGATAGCAGTTTGACCCATGCCATACCCACATTGTGACTTTGCTGTATAAATTACCCCTGACCATGAGTTGCCATAGTGGCAACCGACTCAAGACCCCTCCTGTCTGTCAGGACCTTTTAATAAACCTTTCCTACCCCTGGCCTACTGTTGTTCCTCAGAGGATACAAACTTGACACAGCTGACATCTAGCAGGTTGGAACTTGTATTTCTCCTGTATCACTTTGACAAATGTGTACATTGTGAAATGGTAATCACAATTAAAAGAACATATCTATCACCACCTAGTTATCATTGTGCATATATATAGTATATGTGTGTGTGTGTGTGTGTGTGTGTGTGTGTGTTTAAGGACCCTTAAGACATATTCTCGTAACTAATTTCAAGTAAACAATACAATATTATTAACTATAGTCCATACTTCTGAAGTGGAATCATTCTCATCTTTTATCTTTGTTCTCACAAAGTAAAAGTTACCCAGGGGTGGTAACTTTGGGGTAGTTGCTACTTCTGTGTGTTTCAGAGTTCTCTCTGTTAGTTTTACAGTAACACTCCATCACCAACTAGACAATTCTTTACATTCAGTTACATTCTTTGCATTCAAATCTTGGTGGTTTGGGCCTCCTGACTAGACCAGCCTGATAAGCTACTTTCAGCAGGGTGGGGAAAATAAGCACTATTGAGACCTCAAGCTCCCTACTTTGAGTCTTCCAATTCAGGCTCCCCCATTGGAATTTTGAGTACTTGTGCAGTAGTTGAGAAAGTGGGCTTTGATCTGTATCCACTGTTGTTCCCTGGGTATATGGTTCCCTCTGAAACCTTGTCTGAACATGGCAAAGAGGTAAGCAACAGTGGGTCAGCCTCTCTGAGACTCAGAATCTGGACACTGGAATATAACAACTTGGGGAAGAAAAGAAGGAGGGAGGTGGATCCCCAGGACCCAGGAAGGATCTGAAGGGAGAATTAGAGCCCACAAGGAAAGTGAAGATATAGACCTCAATGCAGAAAAAGGAGGTAGAAAACTGCAATTTTTCCCTGACTCCTGGCTCATGGCAAGAGAAAGGAGGCTCAAATATCCAGACACATATCCACGCAGGGGACCCCAGAGGCCTCCATGGAGAAACACACCAGTGGAACATAACAGTGGATGCTGTGAACTGTAGCAACTAGTGAGTGATCCCAATCTAAGCATCATCTGGAGAAGCCAACTGAACCTGGGACTCAAATAAGCCATGGGTTGGTTCCCTGTCAGGGCTCCCAGAAACTAGGTGAGGCACAAGCATGGGAGACAGCCAGGGTCTGGGAGCTAACATCAGGCTGGCCAGAGACACCCTGACTGTTATCGCTAAACAAGTCTGGCCCCAACCTGATAACCAGGGGCCAGAATCACACTGAACTTCTATGACGATGAAAGTGCAGCAGAAAATGTCCCACCCTCCACATCTACTAGGCTCCAGTTTCTATTAGTTGCTCAGGTCACCTCCAGTTTACTTCAGTTCCCATTACAGTTCTTGTTACTCCTGTTTCCCAGAAACGGCTGGTCACTGTGATGCATACTGTATGAACCAATCACCAGTAGAAAAGCCATTCTTCCTCTGTACTTCCTCTTTGCAAAAACACCATAAAAACTCTCCTCTTTGAGCCTTCAGGCCCTGACATTTTTTTTCTTGAGATCAGTGCCCTTCAATGTTCAATAAATCTGCTTCTAAATCCGGGATGACATTTCAGTGTTTCTGTTTGCCTCTGAAAAACCACAAAAAAATGGTCTTCTGCACTATTCAGCATCCTACCCTATTCCTACTGCAGGCCTTCTGAGATTATCCAGCACAGATCTGGGCTGTCTGATACCTTTGTCTACAAGTGACAGCAGAGACATGCCCTGAATAGGACACTACCACAAAACGGTAGACCCAAGAAGATAACCACAGGCTTGAAATCACAGAGA